AGGTTGGGCTAGTTAGGAGGGCCATAAAAACAGGCAAAGCAAACAATGGATTCAGCATAGCAAAAACTTCAGAGGATGGCCAAAGGAATGAAAAGAGTAGGGGAAAAAGGAAGAGGAACTGAATAAGGATGACAAAGATATTATTCCCACAGATAGGAATCTACTCTGCAGTGAGTCAAATGCACCTTGAGAAGCAAATAAAGGTATTGTTTGCAAAATTTTGTTACAGGCAACTGAAACAGATCCAAGTGCCACAAATGTCTCAAGTATCCTTATGCTCTTATTCTAGGGTTAATTTTCTATGTCAAACCCTTTCTCAGTTCTTCATCCTTCTTGACCTATTTCTGTTAACGGTACTACCATCCTTCCAGTAACTCAGGTTCACAACCTCACAGTCACCCTCAACTTTTCACTCTCCTTTACTCCTTCATATCCCATTAGTTAGCAAGTCCTGTCTTCCACTGCAACAACATTCACTCATCTGTCCCCTTCTCTCCAATCAGTGTACCATCCTATTTTAGGCTCTCAATAATTTTCATCTGGCCTCCTGGAATAGCCTCCTAACTGTTGCTCTTCAACGTTCTCCCCTCTCCAGGTCACTATACACACTAATGTAATATCCCTAAAGGACCAACAGATCTGTTCTCAAAGTTTCACAGCAAGTCCCTATTCCTTGAGTTATACGCATTCCTCTTTTCAGTATTTAAATCTCTCAAATATCTGACATGTGCTTACCGTTTCAGGTTTATTATACATTATTCCCCTTCAAAAACCCTAAGTTCCAGCCAAAATGGCCTACAAGCTGGTTCTTTATACATTCCTTTTCCTGTCTCCATTTTTTGCAGAGGCTATTCTCCATTCTAAGAATGCATTCCCTCTTCCCTCAGTCTCTTAAGAGTCCCCACCTTACAAGCTAAACTCAATTGATACCTCCAATATGAGGTCCTTTCTAATCCTCCAGTTGTGAGCACCCCTTGATAAATTACTTTGCTTTTTTATTTACTTTGTATTTAGTTATATGTGTACATATTGTTTCCCACAAATATTATGTAAGTTCTTTAAAAACAGGTATGGGGGCAGGTAGGTGGCAAAGTGGATAGAGCACGGGCCCTGGATTCAGGAAAACCTGAGATCAAATATGGCCTCAGACACATAACACTTACTAGCTATGTGACCCTGGGCAAGTCACTTAACCCCATTGCCTAACCAAAAAACCCCCCCAAAAAACAGATATGAGTTTTTTCTTTGTATCCCTAGTGCACAGCACAGTGCTTCGAATTAGGTATTTAATACTTATTGAGAGATTTTCCTTTTTTTTATTCACAAGGGTAAAGTAGCTTAGAACGGCCCAACAGCACATTACTAGCACACCTAAGCGGGTCAAACCACCAACACAGAGAATAGGTCAAATAAAGATATAATTATGAGCTCAACTCCATAGATTACACAAAAATGATGACTGACCACACACAGGCAATAAACCAGAGCTTTCTACATTCTTTCTACTTAGCCACCACCTAAGTTGTCAACAGGCAGGTCAAACCAACCATAAAGCATTCAGGGCCAAGCAGAAAGGATAAAGCAGTGTCCTATCTTACCAAGCTTCAAAGTAAAGCAACTTCTAAATAAGACTTTTTGTTATCTGTACACAAATTAAATTATTTCTATGTGTAACTAACTCTGCCTTACTCATTTTTATAGAACTTTTGAGGCACAATTTTAAAATTAAATACCCTAAGGCAAAATAAACTAATGAACCTTAAGAAAATCAACTACTGGGGCAGCTAGGTGGCACAGTGGATAGAGCACCAGCCCTGGAGTCAGGAGGACCTGAGTTCAAATCGGGCCTCAGACATAACACTCACTAGCTGTATGACCCTGGGCAAGTCACTTAACCCCATTGCCTAACCAAAAAAAAACCCAAAACAAAAAAAAATCAACTACTATTAATTAAGCAATGAATACTCACTTTATTATTACAGTAAAATGAAATTCAGATTGTGAGAAGGCACAGGCGGAATATTAAAAGCTGAGATAAGCCAGTTTTCCTGTGCATGATTGCAGATTGTAAAAAGTACAACAAAATAAGAAGGTATGTGTAAGGAAAAAATAGCGGAAATCACTCTAACACGTAACAACTCCAGAAAGATAAGTTTGATTAGTTTCCTTGTAAGACCTATTCAGACACTACCTAGCTAAGTAATGAGGCACACTGAACTTTGGTCTGTAAGTCTCATTAAGAAAATAGAATCCTACACTTAATTATGCTGAACATCAAAGGGTCCTGGATCAACTACAAAGATATTTGTGGCACTGCCAAAATATGAGTAAGTAAAATATGATACTCTTTCTAGGGGCTCAAAAGCAGGATGATTATTTACTGCCAGTGTGATGTCATTAAACCTTTCTGGGAGTGAATTGTGAATAAATCTGAATAACAGAGAAGGGAAGAAGCCAAGGGAATCAAGACAGGATCGTCTCAGTTTCTTCATCTACAAGACCTGAGGGTCCAGTCTATTCTAAATCTATGACCTACTAAGCCTAAGATTCCATTTGATAACTAATAAGTATCTAATCAAAGTACAGTACAATTCTCTCCTGCCAGAAACTCGGTCTTTAAAGATTTTAAAAGATTTAAATGTTTTAAGAGGAATTATTAAATGGGGAATCTGCACTGTGGATTAGAAACCTACAAGAAAAAAGCATACTCTCATGCAGAGAAGTGAACTCATTTTGGGACAGGCCTAAGCCTTCCAAATTCTCTCTCCAAAAAGTCTGCATTCCATTCATATGTGAAGCACTTAAATATCCTAGCACTAAGCTGTATGTAAACACAAAGAGCAAAGGGAATAGACTCATCAGTGGCTAAAGTTTGCAATATTTTTCAATCATACCACCACCAGTAAGTTCTTTTAACAGGAATTAAAAGATAAATATAATACTAAAAGTTTAACAGATTGAGAATCAAAAGAAAAAAACCACTAATCATAGTAAGCATTTCTTCTGTCCTAGTTTTATAATAGGACATCTTTCTTTACTATTAATATTTCTTTTACTGTTCCCATTATTGTTGTTATGGTGGTATCTGAAATTATGTTCTAATCCCTTTGTAAATGATATTTCCAACTGGGAAGAAAGGAAAACTTCCACAGAACATGTCAGAGACCCAGACCTCGCTATTTTAAACTAATCTAAGTATCACATGGAAGTATTTATTAGACATAGGTAAATACAGCCTGTCTCTCATTGTAGAGCTACACATACCCCAAACCTTGTCAGTATATATTACTAAAAGTTCTCTTTTTATTGTCTATTCCTTCAAATTGGTAGAATTCTGGACAGTGGTTTTTTTTTTGCATTTCATGACTTGAGAATGGAATCTATTCTCTAAACTAAATACCCTCTTATAGTTCAAAGTTGGAAACCAGAAGGCAGGACTGCCATCACTTTGATATCACTATACATGGTTTTCCTAATCTATTTTTCTTTTAAATACAGGCCAGATCTCTAGACCCTGAATTCAAAATCCTAAGGTACAGAAGCCCAAACTTCTATGGATTTCTGATAATTAACATTCATGGTTACTTGATTATTTACTTCTATCACTTCAATACTATTTATCAGATTTCAGGTCACAAAACTTTTCTAAAGACATCAAAGCTTATATCTTGAACGTAGCAATATGTGAAAGTCAGTAGTCTCATTAATTAACCTCTTTTCCATATGCTAACTCAAGTTCACAAGGAATTTCATGACAAGGATTTTTCCAGTGCATTTTCCAGGGGCAAAAAGAAAACTAAGACCTAGCTTTCCTTTTCAACACCTGGAAGGGTTGGTTGCTGCATTAGTGGAAGACACTACTTACTTACTTACTCACTACAAGAAAGGGAAATAATAGTCCCTACAGAGAATACAGTGACCTCTCAAGGTGGCACCATGTATGGTACAAACATTACCAAAACCTCATACTAACTACAGAACCTCCTTTTCCTATCAAAAACCAAACTCTTAAAAGAGCTGTTATCAAGAAACAATCTCTTCATTCCGTCCTTCTCTTAACTCCTTTTTGAAGGGGCATTTAAGAAGCAATGAAACCAAGAAAAAGGCTGGTTCCAGAAGGAAAATTAGAAACCGTAACAAGCTGGATAATCAGACTATGAATAAGTGCGATCTGTGTGCATCTAAACCAGATAAGAGAAATAACATATGTGTGATCAACTCTTTAACAAGCGAGCGTGACCTACAGGCTGGAGAAACACTAAAAAACTTGACTGCAAGATGCAAATTCAGGAAGGCAGCGGTGTAGAAGAGGAGGATCAAATTTCCCTCCTTCTTACAAGTATAAAGTAGAGAACTACAGGTACAACAGAGAAAGAAAGGAAGGGGCTCATCCAGAAGCTGGCATCTTTTTTCCTAAGGGGATGCCTTCCCTGGCCCTTGTGGCCACTCAGCCCTACAATTTATTAGAGTCTCCCCGGGCTTCCGTGACCTTGCTCACCCCAGCCCAGCGGGCCCCAGACTCTCCACCCCACCCCCTAGGAATGGCCTCGAGCCCTTCCCCACTCCCTCGCACTCCCCTCAACGACAGGGGCTCAGTGCCCTGTACCCCTCGCGCGGGGCCGGGCTCCCTCCAGCCTCCCAAGTCCCCACTTCCCTCCGCCCCGCCCCCACCCCCACCCCGGTCCCGGACAGTACGAATTAGGGTTTAGTGGAAGACCTGGGGGTGGAGACTGACCCCGGGGCGGGAAAGGGAAGATCCGGCCCTCCCCTCCGGCCAGGCCAGCCGGTCCGCCCCAGCACATGGTGACTTAACTTTGGCGTCCCCCCGCCTGCCACCCCAGTTGACCCCAGGAGGCCCCTTTCCCCCGCCCCGGCCGTACTTCCTCCCCCGCGAGCCGGCGGGTGGTCGGGGGCTCGTGACCTCCCTCCCCTCCCCTCCCCAAAGCGAGACTCGTCCGCGCAGACCCCGCGCGCCCCCACTGAGCCGCCGCCGCCGCTACCTGTCCTCATTCTTGTTCTTCTGCTTCTTCCCCATCCCGTGACAATGGCTTTCGCGACTCCAGTACCTTCGCTCAGCCCCTTACTGACCCACAGCCCCCCAGCTGGTCCGGCTCTCTGTCCTTCCGCCGCCGCCGCCGCTTCTCGGACCCGGCTCACCACAGACCCGAACACGGGACACGGCACATATGGTATGAACTTGCACAGCGCAGGCGCATCGCCCCCGCCACCCTGGCGTGGGGACGCAGGCGTCTCATAGAGTTCTGCGTTTAAGGTAGAGCGTCCCCAGACTCCAGCGGGTGACGCTGAGTGAGGAGAGCGCTCCCTATCTTTGGGAATCAGAAGTGCAGGGTCCCGAGTGCCTGGCGGAGAACCTTCTACTACCGAAGCTCGTAAGAAGCTTTTAATCTTTTGCTTTACTGTTCTGTGATGAAGTTCACTTCTCCCAAGTCAGTCCAGCCAGTGCTGGAAAGCAAACTTCTGAACGGCTGTTACATCATTTGGAACAGAAGGAGAACTTCTGCGATCCATTTGGTCTTCATTCCACTGTTTAACATCTATAATTTTGTAATTGTGACCAAGTTCGACGTACCTATGGGGGAGCCGAAATTGGACACTCTCCACAAGGATACATGGCGCTATTCAATAAATAAAACAAGGGCATACTGAGTTTGTCCTCGCTTCGTAAAACGAGTTTCAATCCTCTCATTAAAAGAGAAAAAGTTGGATTTTTAAAAATCCTATGATTCTTATATGCTGTCTCAATTCTCATCTGGAAAAATAAAACCAGAAAATATGTTCAAGGAGATATATTTTACTTTTGCTATGTAGTTTACCATAGAACATTCATTGAAGGACTGGGGGGAAAGATTCAACCAAGCAAATGGGCAACACCCCCATCCTCAAAAATACAATTCCCAAGATGCATTGCTCCTCACGTCGCACCTCTAAGGTGCTGTATTGGAATTCTTTGGTCCGGAAGAGAGTCAAGAACCTTGGGCTTTTGCACTTTCCGTAGAAAAACCCAGGCAAGGCAATTCCGCCTATCTTCTGAGAAACCCAGAAGCCAAAGGGAGACGAGAGTACGCAGGCGAGCGGGAGAGCGCATGCGCCGGGGACGCTCACTTTCTCTCTCCTTCAGCGGCAGTCGGTTCGCGTCGAACGTGGAAAACAGCCAATGAGGGCTTAGTGTGTGCAAGTGGCTGGTGCCCACCCGCCACCGCCACCGCCGCCGCTGCTGTAGTAGAGCCAGAAGTAGCAGTGACCTTCCGCCAAGTGTTCGGCACTTCACGGGGGAGGGGGCGGGAACCGCAGCAATCGCCTTGATTTCAGGTGAGGTGAGCCCTGAGGCGAGAAAGCTAAGTTGGCGATGTCGGTAGGGCGACCGTAGCACGCCATGGGGAACGAAGAGCAGGGTGGGGAGCGGGGAGGGGAGGTGGGGGGGGGACGAAAGACGAGCGGGGTAGGCCTATGGGGGGAGGGGACGACGCCTCCAGGGCGCAATTGCGGACTGGGCCACGCATGCGTCTTTAATGGCTTTGAAGCCAGGGTGGGGGGAGATGGGGAGCTTGCCCTCACTTCAGCGACCGTTTTCCCATTTTGTGGGGTGGCCGGGAGAGGTGGGAATGGAGAAGGTGGAAGCGAGGTCTCGGAGGGGAACTCGAGGCTTCGTGGCTGTTTTTGAAGAACTCAGGCTTGCCCGTTCCCCAAAACAACCCCCACAGATGGGAAGTAAAGAAGGTTGTGTGAGGACACGGCTAATCCTTCGCCTTGTGTCTCCCCCCCCAAAAAAAAAACGGGCCACAGGAATTAGCGATTAAAGCTGGAAGGAAAGCAGAATTGGAGATGATCATAATGGAAGATGGGTAGGGAACTAACGGGACTGTGCGGTTTTTCATTTTCTTGATAGTTAACAGACCCGCCTCGAAGCTACTGTTACTAGATTTTAAACTGGCACACAGGGGCACTTGTTGACGGCCCAGTGACATGCAATCACGAATCGTGGTTGTGTAGTGGCTAACCTAGTCAACACGGAAGATGATTCCAAGGCTGTATTTCTCTATAAATGTTTTGTATTGTAGACAGCTGTTCCGCACCAGTGTGTCTGAGTCAGGGAAGTTTTGTTTAATTCAGACATTTATTAAGCACTTCCCGTGCGCCTGTCGATGAGGATACAAAGACTAAGACTTGGGGAAGGGGCCTTAGGAAAAGCTTCCTAGAGGAGGTAAGCACTTGATCTGGGCCTTGAAGGGAACTATTTCAGCCGAGATGATGATAGTGGGTACTTAAAGGCATGAAGGATGGAGGGAAGAGAAAGCAAAATGAGATAACAGAGTTTGGCTGGAACATAGATTGTTCCATTGTTCATTAAGGGAAACAGTGTGAAAGGAGTGCCAAAATCAGGAATCTTTATTTTAACCTTAGCAATGAGGACAACATTGTATGAAGAACATTGGAGTAGGATGCAGAAAACCTGAATTTGAATCCTGACTCTGCCACTAACTCCCTTTGTGCTTGTTCAGCCTTTTATGGTTTAGGGTTTTCTCATCTACAAAATGAGAATGTTGGACTGGATCACTAAATCATCTCTAAGTTTCTTTTTCACTCCAGATTTGATGTTGTGATCCTGAGGTTTTGGAGCAGGGGAATGACATAGTCAGACCTGTACATTAGGAAGATTACCTTGCAGCAGTTTGCAAGATCACTCAGAAAGGGAATAAATAGACTAAAAGTCAAGGAGAGACGAAGTAGGAGGATGTTAAAATAATCCAAGCAAAAATAATGAGGACCTGTGGTGGTAATGGGAGTAGAAAGAAAGGAATAGATGAGGAATTAGAAAGGTGAAATCGACAGGGTTTTGCAACTGATTGGACATGATGGATGAAAGAGAGGGAAGAATCAAAGATAATGCCAAAAATTTGAACCTGAGTGACACATTATAAAGATTCCTTTTTTGTCTTTCAGCAAATGCTTCCCTTTTACATGGAGCCTAAAACACTGAATTATGCCATGTAATGAATTCTGTTGTAAAATATACAGCACCAATAATGCTTATGCTGCAGATTATTATCATAGAGAATGTTTATTCGACAGACTGTGTCCTATAGCTCTTTTTTATTTACATTTATTAGCCAGTAGAATGTAAACTTCATGAAGAAAGGAACTATTTCCTTTTTCTGTTTGTATCCCTGGGCCTAGAAACCACATAGCAGGTGCTTAAATGTTAATTGACTTGAAACTTCCTTTATAAAAAGTATTGAGTCTTAGTGAAGTACATAAATGTAAGCTCCCACTCTGACAAAAGTCCTCTACCTGTCAATGCCCCATGGCTTAAAGGTAAGGCAAGTAGATTTCAGGCTCTGGAAAGCTTTCAGTTAGCAACAACAGACTATTTGTCTGTCATCCTTGAACTAGCCTAGCTGATTTCAGAAACTGATCACAAGATTGGCTGAAGGGGGATGAACTTTTCAGCTAGGGCGATTTTAAATTGAAAACCATCTACCAAGTTGTGGAGGGATTGTGGTTTGTTTTGGTGGCAGTTGTGCCCATGTTAATGAAATCATGCCTCCTTGGATTATTATTGTTGTATCTTAGACAATTCATCACATATAATTTTAACATTCAGGCCTCAGTTATTTCAGTAACTGTGCTTCCCCAACCCCTAGATTGTGAATTCCATAAGAGAAAAGACCATGTCTTATCTAACATTTCCCCAGTATTTCCTCCAGGGCCTATAGCACAGTAGTCTACATTTATAGTAGGCATTTAATAAGTATGTCTTAGTTTTATCACAGAAAAAGAATCTGAATCAAAAACAACTCTTTTTCTAATTGTCTTACTTTCCACGAGTGCATACTTAAGCCCTAGGAAAGGAAACAACTAGTCAAAATCACTGTGTCAGTTAGCTGTAGGCTGTTACTTGCTGACATTATGGAGAATGTAAGAAAACATGGTTTCATGTTAGCAACATTTTAATTGTGTATTTTTATTTCCCTACTTGTAAGGAGCGAATAATTCAGTCAAAAAAATGGAAGCTCATACGTCTGTTGACATGTTTGCAAAAGTCCTGGAGAATCAGTTGCTTCAGACAACCAGTATTGTGGAACAGCAGCTGGACTCTGAGATTCAAAAACTGGATCAGATGGATGAGGATGATTTGGAGCGCCTCAAAGAAAAGAGACTTGAAGCACTAAAGAAAGCACAACAGCAGAAACAAGTAACCTAGCTGCACTGGTTTCTGAAATTACTAAACAGTATGGTCCAAGTACCTTATACTACTGCAGTAGTTGCTGTCAGGCCTCACTTTTAGGAGTTGATAAATTAATGTGTCCTTGCCGTTGTTTAAAATTTGTATAAAGCAAGTATTTTTAGCTTAATCAATGTAATAATCTGAATACAGTTGCGCTTTTTTTTTAAATGAGGTCTCCAGATTAAGAACACTTTGTGTTCTCATTTGGTTAAAAAAGACAATGAAATCTAAGCAGAATAATAAACTAAGTGTCAAAAGACCTAAATTCCATGCATGCTTGCATTAATCTTATTGTAATTTAGCCTGCCAGCCTATAAAATGGTGGTGTTAATTATTGAAACTTTTTTAGAAGGAATATTTTTTGATGAAAAGAATGGCTGTGAAGTAGTTTGAGAGCTGTAGAGGAAAGATTTTCAATTATTCCCTGTATAAAGTTTGTCTAAAGCAAAATGCCCAAAGGGATGAGTTCTCTTTATATAAAAATAAACTAGAGGACCCCACCCCCACCCCCTAAGAAGAGGTGTAGAGGTAAGAAGTATGATTGATAGCTGGCAGCATCTCTGTCCTCTTTCTGCCTGGGAGATGGGAAGACAGAAAACTCTAGGAGGTAGGTGTGAGTGTGAGTAAATATGTGTTGGGAACTGAAAGAGCTGTACTCAAATATACTTTAAGCAATCGAATCAGTGTCATAGAGCTGAGACATCAGTTGAATGTTTCTTAAAATTCTATAAGTTGATTTTTTTTATAGTAAGAAAAAAATTTTTTTTCCAGTAAAACAAATGAGAACTACTTTACAAATTCTTATTGGTTTTTAGTTTATTGGTACTCCTAACACTAATTTTTCTGTACAGACACAGCAAAGGAGATAAATATGTAAAGAATTCTTTTGTAAAGGGAAAATTCCTCATAATGAGAAAACTATGCCCTAATTTTTTTGTTTTAAGTTCACATTTTTTAAAATAGACTTTTTTTAACAGCAAGGTATATATGTGCAGTA